CAGCAGGTTATTAGCAGTGATGTGTCAGTGTCCTGGCGCTGGTTTTTCTCCTGTCAACGGCAGCTGCTTATCAAGCAGATATTGCACTGTATTTCTGGGGAAATAGTCGAAAATTGATGTTCGTAAGCCATTGCTGATCTTATAAGGAGTGCTCTAAGTGGGCATTTGTTGCACTGAGTGTAGGGGTGAGGCAAAAAAGGATTAGGTTCAGTCTTATTTATAAGGCTAGGTTCAGTCTTATTTATATAAGAGTCAAAAACATAAATTCTGGAAGGGTTTTAGACCTTGGAGCCCAGGGAGTGAGATGCTGGTCATCCCCAGTGGTACCTTCTTTTCTCTAGCCAGATATTTAGCACAATGATTTAAACCCGTGTGGCATCTTCAATAATAATAAATATAAAGAAAAATGGATTAATGCTTAAAAGACAGAAAAAAATACCTGTATATACTTTTGTCTTTCATCCAGTAATATTGGATCTAAACTGTCAGGCATCTGTCCGTCCTTAAACCTAAGGTGGAAGACAGAGTCTTTTTAAAAGCAGAATGGTTTTAGGTGTTTAAACCTTAACAATAATGAAAATAAAGGGTCAGGTTGTCAGCTGGTGTGAGGAGATTCAGCTTCAGACTTTTCAGAGATGTAGTGCACATTTGCACCGGAAAAAAAGTTTTGGGCCTGGCCAAATCCTGCATGAAAAAGGAAGGAGGAGGGAAGGCTGAGCCAGAAGCTGCTGCTGGGCTCGTCGGTTGGATCCCCTTTGCCATCTCTGCAGTAAGCCACGGTAGAAAATACTCGCAAAGAATGTCCTAAAGTACCGCTTAGGCGCTGCTTTCACAGCAGAGACTCAGCAGAGTCGTTGTGCTGTCAAGCCCTGATGATTAAATTACTTTTTCCATCCCATCTTCCTCGCATGCGGCTTATTAACTTGACATTTCATCTCAATTATTTGCTCTTCTTCACGCCCTCCTGGTGTCACTTGTCATTCACTCTTTATTCGGGCAAGTCTGGCTGACCGGAGGAATGTGAGTTTGTTGTGGTGGTTGTAGGCTCAGGTAACCCTTTAGGTACCTCCACGCATGTTGATCTGGCCCTTACTTGACGTGCAATAAGGTTGTTCCTCTTAAATTTTTTGTCAACGGGGCAGAAAAGCTTCCGGGGGGGGGGGGGCC